AACGATTTGCCAATAAAACTTCCGAAAAATTTCGAATCCTCCGCTTTGATCATGTACAGCTCATTGCCAGAATGGAATCCGTAGACCTTATGCCAAGGCTCGGTCGAATTTTTCCCTTCGCTGAAATGTGCATTGTTAGAAATACGAGCGGAAAAAATAAACAGGATAAAAATAGTAAAAAGGTAACAAAGCACCCATAAAGTATAAAAATACTAAGCTCAGTAACTATATTGACTCACTCTCCTTTTGATGTATGCATTAGCAGGGTGATAAACGTAGAAATTCCTGGGCAAATACAGTTATTGGCCAATAGTGCGTACTTGAACTCGTCCTCACAAATGAGCACCTCTGAACACAAACAACTTAATCATCGATACTCCAATCTTTTACTACATCACATCATTCAGTACATTTATGTGATCTGACCAATGTCCATCGCACAGTGTATAATATATATGGAACCCTACAGACCTTATGCCAAGGCTCGGTGTGCTTATGCCAAGGCTTGGTCTGTATAAGTATAATGAGTTACCACCATATTGGTTCCTTCGACGAAGTAGGTTCTTTCTGATAGGTTTAGAGGATAACAGGTTCCGCATTAGTTTGGTGCAACCAACGAAGCGGACGGAAGGGGGGAGGGAGTGCAATAATGTATTCCAACTCACACCTCTACCGCGGAATTTGTCTCCATCAAAGCAGTGGTAAATATTGGGTTGATCCATAATTTCTGGCCGATTTTGGTTCAAATTCAATTTTCTTATGTCAAATTAGCTTCATATCGAAATAAGTTGATATGTTGAAGAACACATCAGGACCTTCAGCCAGGATGTTTCAGAAGCTCAAATGCGCAACGGGATAATTAAGTAGGAATCAAAATAGATCAACGACCAAACCCAACGATTATGCCTTACGACAATTTTAAGAAGAACCTTGCAAGGAGCGCGGTAGGCAAGATCAGCGCTACGTTTGCCCCAGTCTTTGCTACTGATCGAGCACTGAGCTATTGGCTCAATAGCATCGGCAAATAAGATAGGAGCTGCAAAGTTCGACCTCATCATGGACCTCCAGTCACTTTGGATGAGGACCCCTTGCGCAACGAATAGGAAGTGCATCCTGACGCTATTAGCAGGAAACTATAGCAAACACCTGTACGCAGCCTATGCTCCATGAGTCGATACCTGAGCGAAAGGGCTGTAGTAGAATGGAGACTCGATGGAAACAGCAGGCATCGACTGATCATGTTCGAGAGGCACGCCTGACCATCTGCAGAAGTTTCATTCTTCGACCATATAGACACGACATTTCCCTAGTTGGTCACTAGTGCAGATGAGTCATGAGTCCACCACGATAACAACACACAGCACGCCTTGTGGCTACCTCGCAGCCTGGACTCACCATCTCGACCAAAGCATGAGCTCTCTCAATAGATGATATAACCACCGGTTCGTTGGATTCGCTGGGTATCCTGTTTTGGGAACCATTTCACTTTATGCAGACAAGCATTGCGAAGGTGACCATGGAATAGCTCCCGAAGTTGGCTACAGCAGTGCGGGAGGACGGTTGAAAAGTCACAAAATCTCCTTCATCTGAAGGACCACCCGAAATCACATTGCAAAGATAACTCGCCACGTTTCGAAGGAAACTGGCTGGACCACGGCACCACATCTGTCGTATAGCCCTGACATTACTCCATCGTACTATCACCTCCTCAGCTCCCTGAAGCAGCAGCTTGGAGAGAAAAGAGTCAGTAAATGCAACCACCCCAAAAACGACCTCTCCGAACTTTTCATTCCACAGCTCCATTCATTCTGGGAGGAATGCATCCATTCGCTCCCTAGCAAGTGGATGCTTATCAGTGATTATGATGGTGGTTACTTTTTTGATCAATCGTTTTTAAGGAAAGAGAAAACTTGAAGAAATCAAAGTGTTGAAATTCGGCCAGAAATTATGGATCAACCCAATAGTTAGTGGGGAAAGAGGTGGAGAATGTGGGGGAATCGGGTTGAAAATCGACATAATATAATCTCCCTGACATAACTATGCTATGCTTTCGCTTTCTTTTGTGATGGGTCAAATCAGGAATACAGATATCTAAGCCCTTCAGCTGCAGTCCAAATTGGAGTCATTGTGCAAAAGAAGAGCGTATGGTCACTTCGGAAAGCAAAAATGTGGCCTCTATGATGTTTTGCCCACGAATATGCGCATGAACCTCGCTCGGTTTCAACCTTTACAATGCATAAAGAATAAAGAAATGTCATCTAGACAACTTTAACATTCTACAATGATAACATCACTATTGCAGGTCCTTTGCCGCAAAAACGGCACAAAGCTGGCTGAACCAACTCAAGTCTACCTTAATGCTCAAAAATTTTAGTTCTCACATTCGAGGGATTGTTTCATTTAGTCGCGATGCGTTTTGGATACGAATACTGTCACAGAGAGGTTATGGAAAGGCAAACAACCAGGGTAGGATGAGCA